CAGATAGGTGAGCAAACACCAACAGCCGTCCGAAGCGACTCAAACCTCAATCCATCTAGTGGTTTCGTAAGTAGATCTGCCAAGTGATTATCAGTATAGACATGGTAGAGAGACTACATGTGATTCAACAAGCTCACGAATAAAATGATGTCGGATGTCAATATGTTTTGTTCGAGAGTGTTGAATGGGATTCTTAGAAATATTTATAGCACTTGTATTATCACAAAAAATGGTCATGGTCCCTTGACTAATCCCATAATCACTCAGCATCTGCTTCATCCAGAGAAGCTGAGTGCAGCAACTATCTGTAGCTATGTATTCGGTCTCTGCCGTGGATAGAGATATAGAATTCTGTTTCTTACTCAACCAGGCTACGAGATTGTTACCCATGTAAAAACAACCCCCTGTCGTGCTTTTCCTATCATCCGCGTTTCCGGCCCAATCGACGTCGGAGTAACCAGCTAAGTCAAGATTAGAATTCCTAGAATAGAATATTCTTAGATCAACTGTTCCACTCACATATCTAATGATGCGTCTAACAGAGCTTAAGTGTGATTCTTTTGGATCTGCCTGAAATCGAGCACACACTCCAGCACTAAAAGCAATGTCAGGTCCAGTAGCTGAGAGATAAAGAAGACTACCTATCATGCTTCTATATAGGGAAGGATCGACACTCTTACCTGAAGCATCATGACTTAACTTCAAACTAGTACTCATAGGTGTCCTAGTATGCTTCTTACTATCCAGCCCAAAGCGCTTAACTAGATCCTTAGCATACTTAGACTGTGAAATGAACAGTCCATCCTCTGTCTGTCTCACCTCAAGTCCAAGGAAATAACTCAACTCCCCAACCATACTCATTTCAAATTCTTGCTTCAAATACTCAGCAAACTCATAAGCTAAAGACTCAAGAGGAGAAGCAAAAATAATATCATCGACATAAATCTGAGCAATGGTGATAGTTTCTTCAACATGTCTAATAAATAAGGTCCTATCTGCACCA